CTGCACCACTTCGACGCGAGCTACAGCCTGCAGCTGGGGGACCTGTGGCCCTCTGTCCGCGCCGGCCTGCTCTGCGAGCAGAAGTATGGTGCCCTCCTCAACAGCTTCTCTGTTGCCGACCATGTCATCCAGGAGCTGGAGCTGCTGAATGCCACTGATTTTGTTTCCGAAGCCCAGCAATTGCAGTGGGGTGCAGCTGTGGGGGAAGCAGCAAGAGGGGAGAGCAGATCCCAGGAGGTGTCTGGCATGGGTAGGACGGTGATGCAGGCAGAGATGATGACACAGGCAGAGACGTCACCACGTGCCTTCATCAGCTCCAAAATCAAGTGTTACACCTTCCCCAGGGGTGACATCACACGCTTTCGCCCTGCACGGTGAGACATCCCTGGACAGACCGTCTGCTGCCATTGCCAGCCTTGGGGCTGCTTCTGTGTGCCCACATCCTCACTTCCAATTGCTCTTTTCTTTTCCCTTCCCACGTTTGCTTTTGTATGCAAACTGGTGGTTTCCAGGCCGGACACTCTAGGGCTCCTTGACTATTATCTCATGGATGCAGCGTCTCTCCTGCCTGTCCTGGCACTCAACGTGCAGCCAGATGATGTAGTCCTTGATCTCTGTGCGGCTCCAGGTGGCAAGACTCTGGCTCTGCTGCAGACTGGGTGTTGTGGTAAGTGGAGGTGGATGTTCCCATGTTCTCATGCATAAAACAGAGCTGGAAGAGTGTTCTGTGCCTATTAATGTCTGTCTGTTAATCATTTCTGGGTATAAAAGTTGGGAATCAGGTATGTTTTTGCAAAAGTGACATTCCCAGTGTGCCTCTTCTGTCCTCCCAGGACATCTGGCAGCCAATGATGCCTCTGTTTCCCGGACAAAGAGGCTGTACCAGGTTCTCCAAAGCTATGTTCCCAAAGAAGTCAGGGAAACTGTGAGTGTCACATCCTACGATGGAAGGGACTGGGAGCAGGTGGAAGGTCGCACTTTCCATAAGGTGGGTTATTGGGAACTGGTGACGATTAACCCATTTAGTTGGCTTCCCTCCTCTCTCAGAGGAAGACAGTAACTTATCCTACAGTATAATTGTATAGTTTTGCAGAATCTTAAATGCAGAGAAAGAGAGAAGACTAAGCCACGTAGGGAGTAATATTTCCTCCTGCTATCCCTTCCTACAGGATCTGGTGCATATGAGCATCCAGAGTTGTACTCTTACTTGCCTGTGTAATACCCTGTAAAAATCCTGTGACTGTCCATCACCTAGAAGGGGTTAAATGTGAAGATTAGATAATTCTGTTTTCTTAGCCATGTTCAGCTGCAGGGGCTAGATTTGATACTCTAGAAGGCGTCACTGCAGGAGCGCTGGCTGGTGTGTGCTGCACTAAGGTTTGCCAGAGAGACACACAGAGTAGGAACATTAAATGAGGACATGTGTGAGTGCAGGATGTTATCCATCATTTCTATGTCTGTTTGCACATTCCCAAAGTGCCAAAGCAGCCAATTACAGTTCAGTGTGGTGCACACCTGCCCTCAGGGAGCATCAGGAAGGCAAGGCACCAAGAGCTGCTTGGTGTGTAGCCAGGGTGGAGGAGATGGGCATGGGAAAGGCTGTGCAAGGAGACTTGCTGAGCTTGACCTGGGCATGGGACTGACGTGGGACCTCACTACTGCAGGTGCTGGTGGATGTGCCCTGCACGACGGACAGACACTCTGTCATGGAAGAGGACAACAACATCTTCCACAAGAGGCGAACCAAGGAGCGTCAGATGCTGCCCATGCTGCAGCTGCAGCTGCTGATGTGAGTGAGCTCAACGCCGTGTTCTGTGGCTGTTCGTGTCACAGTAGCAGCTCTCTGTGGCCAGCACCGAAACCTCTTTTTGCATTGGTCTGTCTCCAGCTGGGAAATGTGGAAGCCGTGTGTAGTTTTCTGGAAGGGCAATATTTGTAATGCATCGAATCATATTAAGTGTAAGGAGGTGCAGATGTTCTTGGTCAAATCACACGTCTGTCCTGTCCCCAGCAGTAGCCATAGGAGGTAGGGAGAAGGGTTTAAAGAACAGGATGGGTATAGCATTGTCCTTTTGGGCGATGATCTGCTGGGTCACGGCAGTCATCCCTGGAGGATTTCTGAGTGCCCACCTCTCCCAGCACATGGGAGAACATGAGGTGCTTCATAACCCCTTTTTGCTGGGAAGGCTGGACAGGCTCACTGTGTGCTGTAGCAATAAGTAAACCGACGAGAGAGTCCCATGGCAGCACTTGAACTGCAAGAGTCTCTTCCCCTGTATGTTTTCTTACCCCATTCCCTTGGATGTGGCTGCAGGATTACACCTTCCAGCTTCTTTCCAGTAGAACCTCTCTCCCATCTTAAATTCTTTATCAATCTAATCATCTAACTGGCTCACATTGCCCTGGGCTGAAACAGTGCTCAGGTTGCAGTGACACAGGCTGCTGAGCCTGTGAAGTTCAAGGAGATGTGTCTGCGGAGTTCACAATTTGTGTGTCACTGCCTGTAAGTTAACTGTTGGCTTCCCGAGTTCAGTGGGTGTGAGTGCCTGGGTTGCACACAGTCATCTTCTTCCTGCAACTGTGTGTGTGTTTATCTTGCTTGCAGGGCTGGGATCCTTGCTGCCAAGCCAGGAGGAGTGGTGGTGTACTCCACGTGCTCCCTCTCCCCACTGCAGAATGAGTGTGTGGTTGAGAGAGCAGTAGAAATTGCAGAAACGCAGTTTAACATCAATATCCATGTTGAGGACTTGAGCCACTTTCGGACACTCTTCCAGGACACGTTTTCCTTCTTCTCGGATTGCCGTCTGGGGGAGCTTGTTCTGCCTCACCTCACAGCCAACTTTGGACCTATGTATTTCTGCAAATTACGTCGGATGTAGGAAGGAGCAACAGACTATGTCTGTTTCCTATTGGGAAATACCCCAAATTTCCAGGGGAAGTAGAATGGCTTTATATTTATTTTTCTTTTTAAAATGTCCTGAAGGAAGTCTGCTTTTTCACTGCAGACATAGAGAATAAATGAGAAAGACCTGTTGTGGAGTCTCTTGAATCCTGTTTGAGACTGAGGTGTTTAATTTAGGGAAAAGACATTGGTCTTATCAGAGGGAGCAATTTATCCATTTGTGTGGGACAAGATAAATGGTCCTGTGTGGATGCTGCTCTCTCTCTCTCCTGTCTGAGTGCTTTGATCCTACATGGGCCAGTTTGGGTTAACAAACACCATCTGGGGATCTCAGTCTTTCTGTCCTGGATCTCCCCGTCTGCATAAATGGGTTGCATCTGTCTCTGCTTATCTCCTGCCTTCAGAAAGAGCAGGCAGACGTTCCTAAGAATGCCCCTCCTGTGAGGTTGGAAATGTGTTTGGGATGCTGGAGATCTGGTGCTGTGGAAAGGCCAGTGGCTGCTGCTGTACCTCATGGACAGGAAAGCTGTGGGAAAATGAATGCTCCCATGCAACATGCCATTTAATGTCCAGTGGGCAGATGCTTGTGTGATTTCGAGTAGTAACTGTATTTATAGAATCATAGCCATCAGTGAAGGATTACTGGAGTTTATGATAAGAGTTGCTTAATAGCCAAATTTTTATTTTTGTGAGCAAAATATAGTGTTGGGGAGGGTAGACGTGGCTGTACTCCTCACAGGGCAACCCAGAGTTTCATCCATATGAAGTTACTCTGGTGCCAGCAGGAAGGTATTATTGAGCTTTTGTAATCCCTTTCTCTCAGCATTGCCCTGCTTCTGCAGAGGAAGCATAGAGGGAAAGGGATGAACCTCGTCCATGTCCATCCTTGCAGGGAAGTGCAGTTCCTACATTTATCATCATTTGAACCCAGCTTATAAGACAGTCCTGCCATCTACTTGACACCTTGGTTCCATACAGGATCCATGATCATTGGCAAGGAGGGGGGTCAGGAAATGGCACTTCCTACCTCCTTCTCTTCTTGCTGTAGTCTCTGCACTGCTGTTCCTTTGGCCTCATGGGACTGTGGAGGCTATGCTGCCCTTTTCCCACGGCTCAGGGTCTCTACCTCCTTCATGAATCGGAGGCACAGTTCCTCCTGCCATGGCAAGGCCACGCACTGCACGGCCACAGGCAGTCCCACAGCTCCTGACACAGCCTGCAGTGGGTACACAAGCACTGAGTGGTTACCCAGGGGCCTTGGATCTCCAGCAGGTTTTGGAAACTTGTTTTAGGCATGTGGCTCATCCTGGAGACTGGGGAGGTTGGAGGTTGAGCCCTGCCATTCAATCACTGTTAGTGTGCTCGGGCAGAGAGGAGGCTCTTGTTTTTCTCATGATAGAAATGGTTGCCAAATCTTGGGCAGCATGTTTGAGACACCTTCCCCCACACACACCCCAGCCAGCTCTGCTTTGGGCTGTCTTATAGCCAGATTCCTTTTCCTTCAGCATCCCCCTTCCTGTTCCATGCTCCACTGACAACCTGGGCCTAGGTGAAGGCATCATGGAGCAGGAGGAAAGTGTAGTGCTGTGCCATGCTGTGGGCTGTGGCAAGGACTTGCTGACAGAAGCCTTGCTGCATGGCTCCTTTCTGACTTCAGCCCATAATAAAACCTGGGGGTGCTCCCACAGTTCCCTGAAAACTCAGTGACTTACATTTTTGTAGGCTTGGGAGAAAAGTAAGGGGTTTATGTAAGGGGGATTTGGGGATTAGCAAGGGGTATGTAAAGAAGGGGTGAATTCTTTTGGACTGTGCCCATGTTGATGGGAGACATGTAGGAGCTCCTGATCTCAGTGAAACTATTACCTGAGCATCCATCAGCAGTCTCTGCTCACCACTCTCCATACCTTTTTCAGTGTCCGGTCCCAGGGGTCATCACAGCATCCTTGGTAAAGCTTTAGCTCTTCCTCATCAGCTTCTGTCACTGTGCTGACGGGTACAACCCCAGCAGGGAAGTTCAAGACATTGTACAGCATCGTGGAGGAGATGGCAGCTGAGAGAAGCAGAAGAGAGAATGCAGGCAGTCACAGCCTCCTGTCTTACTTCAAACTTACACATTCCATGTTCACTGAAGCCCCTGAGAACTGTGTGTCTGTCTCCACCTGCTCAGATAGTTTTATGGCAATTACTTTTCCTTCCCAATTCCCATAAAATGCTTAGGTGGGTGGTGAAACCCCATGATGGTGGATGTTTCTCTCCAGTCTCAACCACTGTGGTCTTCTGCCCTCAGGTAGGTCCCAGACTCACTTACTGACGAGTTTCCCAGGGTATCCTGTGGTGAAGGCAGGCCCCAGGACAGGGCACAGCATGACATCCAATTGGAGTTCCTTCCACTGGGTGATGAATTCGGAGCGGTATGCCTTGGGGAGGAGAGGGGAGATGACATGGAGGCCATGTCCATGCCTGGAGCATCTCAGATTCTCCAAGGTATGCATCAGGCTCTGGCATGGCTGAGGAGGCAATAGCAGGCAGCAGTGTTGGAGGGAAGAGGCAGGGGAATGGGTAAGTGTCTGCCTCCACAGCACATGGCCAGGAATTGGAAAGGTCCCTCTTTAGCCATACCCACTCCCAGGACAGCCTTCATTGTGGTTGGGCATGAGCACTGCAGACAACCAATAAAGTCTTGTGCGGGCTGACCCAAAAGCCCATCTACCCCATTCCTCTCTGGCTTTCGTGCTTCCCCTCTATCCTGTCTCCTCCACAGCACCTATTCCCCTGTACAGCCTTTTTCCAAACTGATGACTCTCCAACCTGGTGCTTGCCATAAAGCCTCATCTTGTAGCATGATACCAGAGAGGAAAGTTGTCAAAACATACCTGTATTTGATGGTGATGATTCCACATCTCCTTCACTGATCTGCAAGTGGAAATCATAGCAACATCTTGAAGCTCTAAGAGGAGGAGGATTTACTTAAATAATCCTCTGGGTTGATAAGCCCTGGTGATTCTAGCAATTACATAAAACAATATGTCTTTCACAATCTTTCTAGTTTCCTTTGGCATCTGGCCAAGCAATTAAGCAGCAAATGTCTGGAAGTGTTGGAGATATTTCTCTGATGAGTCTGGATTTAGTACTCATCTCTTCCACAGGTTTCTTGTATTAATTTTTTCATCCAAGTCCTTCAATCCTGTCAGGATAACACTAGGGGCAGTGCACCACTGGAGAGCTGTGTTCCTCAAGGCTGAAGCCATGGCCAGGATGGAAGGACAACCTCTGCAGAGAGCAGGTCAGAACCTGTTGTGAATCCAGTCCCCCCCCAGCCATGGACACTTACAGAAGAAGGTACCACCCATTTTCACCCACATCCCTGGGGATGATGGCATTTTACCTCATTCCACTCAAGGCACTCAGATAGTCAGCCAGGCGGGGAAACTGGAAAGGTAAGAGGTTGCTTAGGGACATGACATGGAGGTGCAGTAACTTATGCCACCCTGGGAAACCACTAGTCCCATCCTGAGGACAGGGACTCACCAGAGGTTTAAGAAGCAGAGCCAACAGCTTCTTCACCAGATTTGGAAACTTGAAGAATTTCACCTGTGGTTTCAAGCTTGGATCTATGATACCTCCTGTGCTGAGAGATGACAAGAGGAGGGGATCATGCCAGAGAAGCTGTTTGCCCTTTCTCAGAGACCTGTGTGTTGCCTGTTTGGGTTGGGAGCACTGGGCTTATTTTGCCTGTGTGATGCTCATGGCAAGAGGACAGAGGTGTTTGCAGCACTGCTGCCAGAGGGCTCCTACTTACAACACATCTAACCAAGTACGGCCTCCATCAGCAAAAAACGTCTTCATAAACAGTTCAGTCATGACATAAGGGATCCGAGGTGGAGAAAAGGGCACCAGCTGCACCAGAACACAAGATAATGTGGCAGCCTGGGGATGTGAATAGTTTCCAAAGCCCAACTGTGAATATACCTCAAAGGCAGAGCAGCACCTCCCTGGGCTCCATAAGCCAACAGAAGCCCAGTTCAACCCTTTTCCAGCCCAGGCATCTCCCCATGGGATTATTCCTCCCTGACAGTCATCTTCAGTTCTCCAGAGCTGCTTTTCCCTCCACTCTGCTCCAGGCAGTCACTGAGCCAGAGACTGCACCAGTTTCCCACCTGTCCCAGCAGAATTGACATCTCTCGGACATGGACACCCTTTGTTATGACGAGCACTACTAGCGTGTTTCCACAAGTAGGTATAGATGGAGGGAAAGGTATTTCCCATCCCATGCCCCATGGCCCTTATCCCTCAGTGGTCCAGGATGGACAGTGATCTCCATGGGCATTGGGGAGGAAGGAGAAAAACACCTTTCAGAGCCCTGATGGGGAATGACAGACCTAGGAAATGCCAAGTCAACTCTTCAGGATCCACTTTATAGATGCTGCTGTCTGGTGTAGATCACAGCCACCAGGGGAGAAGAGACAGGTTCGTTACACCCTTGTGGGCACAGGTTTTCTGATTGCCAGTGCTGTTTCCCCATGAGATGCACTGCTCCCCCAGGCAGGTCTGTGTCTGCATGGTGTTATGTGGCTGTAGTAATCTAATCTCATACCTCCGGTAGGTCAGTTTTCCCACAGCTGGGCTTGGGAGCTATGTCTGGTTTCTGAAGGGTAATTTCCTCAGTGAGGAATGAAGCTGTGGATGCTTTGGGGAGAAGAGTGTGGGGTGGCCATGCTCACCTGGTGCCCAGCTGCCTGCAGAGCGCCCCTGGTTTCCTTCACCGCCCGCCGCATGCAGGGGGGCAGCGGGAAGTAGCCGTCTGTGTCGTAGTACCCGACTCGCAGAAGAGTAGAGCTGGAATACACCTGGAGCAAAGAAACACCAGTTTAGCATTCACATTCCCAATGGAATTGCTGTGAAATCCTTTAGACATAAACCATTGACTAGGTCTGGAACTAAGATTGGATCCAGCCACACCCAGACTCCATCAGGAGTTTAGAAAGCAAAGGGGTCGTCTCTGAATCTCATGACTCAATGGGAGAGTCTCCCCTACTCCTTGCATTTCCCTATTAAATCCTTATATATAAATTGTTGGCCTGCCTGGGACTGGGATTGGACTCAGCTGTACCTAGACTCTGTCAGGACTTTAGAAAGCAAGGGGCCCATTCTGAACTTTATGACTCAATGGGAAGGTCTCCATGCAAATCATTTGAAAGTGACTGTAAGCTGATTTTAATTTGTATGCTTCATCTATGTAATAAGTAACAGAGTGACCCCTGCCATTGAACTTTGCTATTCTTTTGCAAATTTATATTAAAAAGTTGCTTTTTGCAATGCCTTTGACAGTGACTCAAAAAGTGATCTAAACCACTCATTCATGACACCCACTCTGCTGCGGGTAGGTCTGCCCCCATGCCAAAACACATGGCAGAAGGGTATGAATGTTCCAAATGCTAGTGAGTAACTCATTTTCTGCTAAGTTGCTTATAGTTTCCATAGGTTACCTTTTCCAAATGTCTAATCCTGCCTTTTCTCCAGCCTCTCCTTCATCCCTCCCTTCATATAAAGCACAGCTACTCTAGACCAGTAGATTCAACTACTGCTAGAAAGAATGGAGGTGGAAAAACCTCTTGAAATTGGTCAGCTGCAGAGGGAAAGGAAATGCCCTCAGTTAAGAAATTTGCTGCAGCACTTCCTGATCCTGTCTCATCTTCCCCTAAAAATCTCCAGCAGTTTGCTCATGGTGTTGCTTTCCTCTCCAGTCTTTTCTGGGTTCTCTCAATCTGCTAAGCTACATGCCAACTGAGAAGGCAGAAAACATAACTATTGATTAGCCTATTATTTTCCTAGTAATTATGAATTGTGCCCTCAAAGAGGGCTAACGTTACTGGAAACCAGTACTGTAAAAATAACCTTAAAGAAGGTGTGCAGCACCCTGGAAAGAACCAGGGCTTGCTGATTAAGGACTCACCTCCTCATTGAAAGGGATGGGGGGCACAGTGGGGTCCAGCTGGAACATCTCCTCACAGAGCAGTGCCTTCATGCAGAGGGCCAGGCTGTCCACATCCCTTGCCATTGGCCCCAGAGCACCAGGAACTGGAGTGGGATGATAGCAAATATCCACATTAAGCAGACAGATGTGCCAAACACTGGTCCACCCCTGCCCACAGCCACATTGGCTGCAAGGGGTGAGCAGACAATGAGGTGGGATGTTTCAGATGGACTCCAGACAGATCTTGATTTTCTTGGGTTTTCCTCAGGCCTAGAGGAGCATATAGGGCTCTTCACAGGATATAGAGAAAAGCAATAAAAAGTGTATGTACCTGCCAGGATCCCATTGATAGGGCCAGTCACTCCAGCCAGGCTGTGGAAAAAGAAAAAGTATATTGTCATTACAGTAATGGGGAGATGTTCCCAATACATTTCAATAGCATACTGAGGTCTTCAATCCAGGACCTGAACCAGAAGTAAATTATTAAAAGTATTTGATTCAAGTCATGCAAAACAGGAAATTTTGGTCAAAATGAAAATACCTACAGCCCAACAACCAAACCCAAATGTAAACCCCAATAAATCTTAGTTTCGGTTAACAAAAACTGTTCAGGTTTTGGCATTATCTAACTATCTATCTACCCCTTTTAACTCCAGGCTAGACTTACAATGAAAGCATGGCCATTCCCCACAAAACCTAACCATGCTGTCTCCTGGGAGAGGTTTTGAGCAAAGCAATGCAGCCTTTAAGAATCATCCTCTCTATTCCCTTCAAGTACTCCCTGAGTACCTTGCCCCTTTGGCTGAGTTTGACCATTCATAGGGGGGAAGGGCAGACCCCAGTACCTACCTGAGCCTTTCAGCTGTGGGTTTGAGCCCACACAGCCCACAGAAGCTGGATGGCAGGCGGATGCTGCCACCAATGTCTGAGCCGATGCCCAGGATGGAGCCTCCCCCTGCGATCAGAGCTCCCTCCCCTCCTGAGGAGCCCCCAGGACTCTTCTGGTGGTTGAAGGGGTTCAAGGTCTGGCCAAAGATGGGATTGCCACAGTCATAGCTGGGGAAAAGAAAACCAGCAAGTGGGCTGTCAGGAACAGCTGAATGCCTTGAGTTTGTTGGGTCTCCCTTGCAGTGAGCCTGTGTGGCATAGCCAAGCCCAGCCTTCCATCCCATCAATCCCTTGGGACACAGTTCTATTCCATGAGCTTCTGCTCTTACTCCCATGCACAAGATCACTTGATTTCTCTTAACTCCTGGTAGTTTTTTACCCTCTTAATCTTATCTGAAAGCTTTTTCAGTTGAGATAGCTGCCAGCTGATGGAAGGGAGACTCTCCAGGCAACATCTCAGGACGCAGGGAGGAGCTGGTCCTGGGCTGGGTTTTACCTTCAGGAGCACAACCAGAGGAAAGATTTCTAATGATGTATGTCACCTGAAGAGGGATTGTGGCACATTGGTCACTGCAAATGGGATGGCCCCTTGTCTCTTCAGAACCTTGACCAGGACACTGTCCTCCTTCATCAGATTGCCCAGGCACTGCACAAGCCCACAGGTTGACAGATGCCCCTGCAGAGAGGAGAAGTGACAAGGAACATGGTCAGCACAGTTCCCTTGCTCTTTTGGAAAGATAATCTGGTGTCCCCTTCAGGGGTTTTGTGTTTGATACTAATGCCTTCTCTTGCATGAAGGGCCAAGGACTCCCTCTCCTTCCATCCTTGGCAGAGGGCTTCTGAGCACTCATAGGGTTAAAGTTTCTCCTGAAGCTGCCCCTGCTCTTTTCCGTGTTCCTTCTCTTCCCTGACCCAAACGCAACTCCATTGGTGGACCAGCTCAGGATTAAACCCAAAGTTCTGCTGTCCAAGTGAAGCCACCAGTGGCTGTTCAGGGAGGGAATATATATCCCAGGCAAACACAGTGTGAGCTTTTTACAGTTAGCCTTGGTGTTTGGGGCTTGCTTTGAGCTTAGAGGCCTCAACCTTAGCGCAGCCTGTACTGTGTCACATATCAGAGGAGAAATTGTTTGGGTGTATAACTATTCCCCCCTGGTTGGTTTTTTTTTCTGATGGAGGTTTGTGCTGGTTTTGGCTGGGATAGAGTTTATTTTCTTCACAGTAGCTAGTACGGGGCTGTGTTTGGGATTTTGTGCTGGAAACAGTCCTGTTAACACAGGAATATTATTGTTATCTCTGACCAGTTCTTACACGGAGCCAAGGCCTTTTCTGCTTCTCATACTGCCTCACCAGTGAGAAGGTTGGGGATGCGCAAGAAGTTGGGAGGGAACAGCCAGGACAGCTGGCCCCAACTGACCAGAGGGACATTCCACACCATATGGCATGCTCAGTGTATAGGCTGGAGGAAGAAGAAGGAAGGGGGGCTGTGATGGTGTTTGGCTTCCCCAGTCACTGTTATGCATGATAGGGCCTTGCTCTCCTGGGGATGGCTGAACACCTGCCTGCACATGGGAAGTAGTGAATGAATGACTTGTTTTGCTTTGCTTCTGTGCACAGCTTTACATATTAAACTGCCTTCACCTCAACCCACAAGTTTTCTCACTTTTACCTTTCTATTCTTTCCTCTCTGCCCGATTCCACCAAAGGGGGAGGGAGGGAGTGAGTGCCCACTGGGGGTTAAACCACAGGAAGGCTGCTAACTGCCAGGGCTGCAGCTGCAATGAGATGTGGGGCCCCAGCCTCAGACACAGCCAGGTTCCTTGTGGTGCAAGCAGAGAGGGATTGGGCCCCTTCCCCATTCTCTGTGTCCCACCACTTCACCACCCAGTCCAGCTCACAATGGCACACTTCACAGGCACAAAGGGAAGAACCTTGTGGCCGATGTGATCCTTGATGCTGATGGGGATGCCATAGAGCAGACCTTTCTCTTTCTGCTGTTGTATTTCCTGAAGCTGCTCCTCACACTCTGGGATAAAATGTCGCAAGCAATTTGTCTGCTGGGTCACTTCCAGGGCCTTTTTTGGACAGTGAAGGAATAGATGTTAGTTAAGAACATGATTGTTACACAGCTGCATTCAGTAGCTACCTTGATCTACAAAACAAGGGCTAGTGGCTTGGCATGCATGGCAACCCTCTCCCGAGAGCATCCCAGCTCATGCCATTTCAAAGGACTGTCCAGTGACAGATCTGACCCAGGAGACAGAGCATATCTTTCTCTTGATATCTGCTGTACTGAAGACTTGACATAATCATCAGCTCCACCAAGTCTTCTCAGACACCAGCCCACACACCATGGCATGGAGAATGTAATCCCACTATCCCACTGTGGACTCACCTTCTCTACGTAGGTGTAGAGGACAGTCTTGGGGGACAGAGACCCTTCCTGGAGTCTTCCAGTGAGTTCCAGCAGAGGCAGGGACAGGATGGCATCTGTCTGGACACTGGGGACCTGCAAGGGGAAGATGAAGGGGATCCAGGGCAGCAGCTCCAGTTACTCTTTGGCTCAGAGGGGATAAGTCTCTAAGTTTTGCCAACATTACTGACAGAGCTTGCTCAAAAGGTGGACCCTGCATATGGGGTTCAGACCTTGAGCTGCAAAGTGCTTCATCCTAAGTTTGGATGTCATGAACAGGATGCAAACAGAGGAGCCCTGCTGTCTCTCAAGGTGTGGAAGAGCTTTATCCATCCACTGCAGCGGAGGACATGGCAATGCCTTCCTCCTGGTGCTGTGAGACTTGCCTGCTAACCAAGAGGTAACCTCAGCTGAGCAAACACTGGCCAGGGCAGAAGGTACCAAAGTCCTTGCAAACAAGTCTCAGGTTAGCCCTTCATGGCTCAGAATGGATACAAGCAGTGTGGGACAGTCTGGGCTGAGGACAAACATCTGATAGCTCAAATCCAGCAAACTGCAAAGAAGTCAGCAGGGGCTTATAGGTAAATATGGTCTACTCAGATAAAGAAAACTGGCAGTTCTCAGTGCCACCAGCTTTTTAAAATGTTTTAAATAATATATGTATATATCTATGTATGTATGTATGTATCCCTTGTAGCTGGATGCTTTATCTCCAAGTATTTCACCTGTGTGAACATGAGATGGTTTATCCAGTACATATTCACAAGTGAATGGAGCAGAAAGGAAGAGTGTATAGAAACAAGTGCTACAGTAGGAATTCAGGGCCACATCCATGCTGGTTGGGTGCCTGCCTCATTCATCTCTATGTCATGTCCTGGTTGCTCCTAGGGGACACGGAATGACCTGTGCATCATTAGTGTTAAGTTAGACCAGACATCTTCTGGGCAGTCTGGTGGGCCTAAAAGTCTTGATTGCTGGGAATGCTAGTGAAAGCTCTGTTGGAGTCTCCTCAAGAGCCATCCAGAAGCCAGGTTTTGTGGATAAAGATATAGGGGTATGGACAGATGCATAATCTTTAGAGTTAACAAGAGGCTAAAGCTTTCTTGCTTCTACCCATAGAGGCAAGAGACCTTTCCAGATCATGAAAGAACTGGATTTTGGATCAATGAAGGTGCAGTGCTTCATGACCTGTGTCACCCAAAACCTCTTCCTAGAGAGTATTTCTTATCTCCCTGGCTGTAGACTCCCACCATATCTCATCCAGCTTGAGTGGAGCAGTGATGTCACTTTCTCCCAAGGCAGCCTTTCCTCATGTTGAGGGCTGCTGTCACATCTCCTTATTACAAAAGCTATGGGGGCATGAGCTGGAAGGAGGAACTGAAGGATAGCATCAGCAGACACCCCAGTGGGGACTCAGAACCCCAAGAAGGATGGGTTACCTGCTCTCTGAACTGCTGGACAGCCTTTGCCATTTTCTTCATACTCTCATCCCGGGTCCTCCGAGCCTCTTCCATTTTCTTCTGGATTGTCTTTTTGCTCAGCCATTTCCAGACCACCACAGCTGCCACTGAGCTACCAAGCAGGGTGAGAGCAGCAGAAGGATCCATCTTCCTCTCTGGCAGGAACTGTATCAGCTGTTGCTGGATCATACTGTGGTCTTCTGGTCTCTGGGGATGGAATAAGGAAGAAAAGCAAGGCAGGAGTAGGAGACCTTCCCTGCCTCCCCAGACCCGTCCCTCCTCCCAGCACCACTGTCTTGGGTCAGCAGATAGTTCAAAGAGTTCAGTCCAAAGCTGACCCCTGCAAAGCTGCTGTCTGTGGAATGTGCAGTGGAGAATGATTAACTGGGAAATGGAAAAGGTGAAGTTTGGCTAGGGAACTTCAGGGTATTGGTTTAGAGGGACTTTCTGGACTGTGGGATGTTCTCCACCGGGGAGGAAGGACTGTGGGATCAACTGAACAAAAGAAGCAAGGAAATAGCTGCTGTCCTATTTCCTGTGTAAATTGAGACGACAATGGAAGAAAAGGAAAAAACAGCTTGAAATCACAAGACTTCCCTGCAGAGGGATGGGGAATGGATTGCTGAGAGGATGTGTAACTGTGGGGTACCCTCAGCTCACTAAATCCCTTATGGTGGCTCTTTCAGGAGGCCTGTGGGATAGTGCTTAGCACTGCCATGATATCTGCATGCACCAAAAGGAGAGGCTGCTCCACTCCATGACAAAGCACACTGGTATTGCTTTAGGAGTGGAAAATCCCACAGGCTTGTGGGTCAGAAGCAAACTATTTCCATCAGACATTGGAATAGCTAGTGTCTGACATCTTTCTGGCACAGATGCCTCATACAAGCACCAAGGGTGCTTGTAGGGTTAGGGTTAGGGTTAGGGTTAGGGTTAGGGTTAGTGGTTACACACTGAGCTGAAGACAACAACACAGCCAACATCAGCCATGGTCTGTCTGCGATCTTCTTTGTTGGTTTTGGATGGTGGGTCCTCCCTATGGGTCTCCCCCTGGGAAAAGTGTCTGGGCAGCTATGGATTGTGCTCTACAAAACTTTGCAATGCTCTAGCAGAGTGTGGAACTGGATATGGAAAGGAAGCTGAAGAGCACGTCTCCCTTCAGGGCTAGGTAGTCCTCTAGTACTCAATTTTTCATTGTCACATCTGTTCTTAGGAGTTTTAAGAGTTCGCTGTTGTTTTCTGTCACAATTTTTGTCAGTAGGGAATGTTCTTATCTTAGTTCTTAAGTAGGGAAATTTATGGACTTTTTACAATATTGGCTTTGGTATCCTTGAAGAAACAGTCTGGAGATGACAGCAATTATCTGCATAGTAGCCAATTAATCTGGCCTTTTGCTGCATTCTCTTCCAGTGGCACCCTTCCTTGGAGGGTGCCTCCTCAGCTAAGGCTCTGCTGGTTTTATGAGATCTGTGGCAGGGGATGTGTCTGCAGCTAATCCAGCTCCTGCTCCTGCTGCTGCTGCTGGCTGCAGCAGGTGCCTCTGGAAGGTGCATGGAAACAGGGCCAGCATGAAGCAATATCCAACCCTCCCCCAGCCTCCAGGAATTCATGCAACGGCTTCCTGAGACAGAGGTGGGCTCTTTGTGTATGTGATAGCACTGTAACCTCTGTGATGGGCTGAGCAGATGTGGGAGGGTTTTTTCCCAGTGCTGGGAAGTGTCAGGGTATTGGCTTCCCACATACGCCTGTGCACTGGGACCTGTGCTCTGATCCTGCCCTTTAGACACTTGGCAAATGTTTAACAGAGACAGACACAGCTGTGTCTGGACTGACTTGGCATTTCAAAGGGCAGATTTTTCAGCAGGCACAGCTGCATTTCCAGATGGCCGGATGTCACTGAGGAAACTCTTTTTTCCTATCACCTCCACATCCTTCATGAACCAGAGATATGGCTCCTCCTGCCACCACAAGGCCATGCATACAAGGGAACCCAAAGCAGGGAAGCAAAGGGATGTCCCAAGTCAAATCTCAAGTCCATAGCAGAGCAGACAGATCTACCTGACTTGCAGGTCAATATTGACTCCTCCACATTGTTTTTGTCACCTGAATTGATCCAGGTTCAAGGTCAAACCCACCAGTGGAGTTCAGATGAAGGCTATGATCACAAGAAGAATCAGCCTGTAGCAGCTGGTCTGGGATTTAATTGTGGCATCAATGACCTCTCCTTCACTTTGGACCATCCCAGAAGAAAGCAGTTAGAACAAGTCAGACAGTCCACTCCTGTCTCCAGCAAGAGCTGCACTGTCCTTGCTTGCAATAGCGAAACTGCACTGGCTTACTGTCATCACACTGCATCGACACCTCCAGCTCTCAAGCTGGCCAAGTTTTGACAGAAATTTATTCCAAATTGGTAATAAATATTTTTAAGTCAGCTCTGTCTCCCTTTTGATTAAAATAACTAACAATAAATCCTGGCAGTTGTATCTTGTATTCCTGTATTTGTAACCAAGCACTCTGATACTCTTTTTCAAAATGATTGACAAAACAAGGCATGTTAACTATGCTACTCTGAAAGAATTTTAAAGACATTTCAACAAATACTGGAATCATAGTGAAACAGGCTGATCCCCTTTGAAGAACTTGTTGCAATTGGCTTAGAGGGCTGAATTAATGTTTTCTGGGAACTCTCCAGTTTCTGACTCATTTCAGCCTGGAATATCTATTGCAAGCACAAGATTTTCCTCAATTCCAGTCCAGCTCCACCAGCACTCACAGAATGTAACAGCTGGTAAGAAACTTGCCACTACCTAATCTGTCCATTTCCAACAACCAAAAATATCAGGTGAGAAGTGAGGGTCTGTCTCTATCTTTTCCGCATTGCTTAGCCAGGACCCTGTTGGTTCTCCACAAATAAACAGCAATAGCATAGGGACAAAAACCTGCCACACCAATCCTCACACCTCTCAGCAGCGACTGATTGCTCTCCTGACCATCCCTACATCTTTCCCACTTTTGGGGGTATTGTGCTATTTTCCTTGATAGTCAAGTGGGTCGTATGGATCCTGCTTACTTCTCCAGCAAGGTAGAAACACCAGGAAAAATACTGCAGAGAGCTCTTAGTTCTTCACCAGAAGTTCAGGAGCATTCCTACTTCTTCCATCATGTTTAGTGTCTTCCACAGGTCTGTCCTCACTGAGTGACAGCAGAGACTTCAGCACCCTGATGGTGAGGGACTGGGATGTTCCCAGCTGCTCCATGACTGGGCACTAAGCTTACAGCAGGAAGTTGAGATTTTCACTGCTCTCCCATGGGCAGATCAGGGCATGGGGGAAGCTGAGGGATTTGAATGTAAAGCAGGAGAATGGTAACATGAGGGGGAAAAAAAGCAAAAGCAAATTAAGACCATGTTGGAGAGATGAGGATTGGTGCAGCAAACAGCTGTTTCAGAGTATGTACCAACCCTAATTCTTGCTTTTTTTTTTGGTGTGTTTAAAAGGTGAGCCTTGCTATGTCCAGGTGTTTCATTTTACCTACATTTTAAACAATTACTTTTAGCTACTTCAATTACCACCTTCCTTGAACTTGTTTGAAGTGAATGTCTGGGATTCTGAGAATGTTTGTGTCCCTAATGTCTTCTGTGACTGCCTGTGTGCTTTGGATACTGTAAGGGGACAAGTGACTCATTCTAACAACTCATGTTCTGCTGGTATTAGTACTTCTAGAGAGTTTTATTTGCTCCTGATGTTGTGACTATACAACAATGTGACCTGCAAATTAAAGAAAAACTCCTGCAAATTAAACTAAAACCAAATAAAAAAGCTGGATTGTTTCATGACTATCTCTCAACTTTGCTTGGTTATCTATCTGGCCACAGAACGAAATGTGCCTTGAGGAGGGCAGATTTAAATTCTTATTAAAACCAAGAGGGAGGAGGAAAAATGATCAAAGCAAAGACCATAGCCAGGATATTGTGCTAGAGATGAAGCTAGTAAAAACAAAGCCCTTTTGGCCCAAGCAACATTGCTATATAATTCTCTGAGACAGACCAAAGCCTGGACTTTGGTCAATGCCAGGCAGCTGGACAAGCACTCTGCAAACACACAGTGCAGGTCTGCAAGGGCTGTGCAGACTGAGCCAACAGCTCAGATGAATGCGCTGCAGAAGGGTTGGAAACACAGCAGCATGTGCTGGTGGGTATGGGAAGGAGCTGACATCCTCTCTTCAGCCTGGAGGAGGTCTGGAGGAAGAACTCTCCTGCAAACCTAAAGTTATGCCCTACTAAAGGCCTTTCTCTCCTGTGCCTGAGCTCACTAGATTGCTCTCAGCAACACCCTCTCCACTTTCCCCCATTTATGCACCAATCCCAACTGACATCATAGACAACCTGTCTTGAGAACTCAGGAAGGTGCTTTGCTCTCTGCCCAGCTGAGACACTTACCTGCTCTTTAAATTCCTGAAAAAAACCTCTAAATCTAGTACAAACCTGTGTCTTGTTTCCCACACGCCTTGTCCATCTGCTTCTGGACATGGCTCCACCTCATTCACTTCAGTGCCAGGAGAGCTTTTGTTGAGCTGAGACCAGGGCTGAGAGCATCCATGCACACTGCTTCTGTATCTGCTGGATCACAGTGAGAGCTTCCCTTTGGGTGCTGCGTCCTGGGAGCTAGTGCTGTGAGATCCTGAGATCTAGTGACTGGCTGGTAGCATGAGAAGGGAGAGTGGGGGGAGCAGCAAATCCCTTCTAGAGCCATCCACAAGGAGCAGCTGGAATGCCAACCTCAAGGGGAAATTCCTTCTAGAAACAGGGCTCTCTCACTTGATTCAGCCTTGCAAATATATGGAAGGATACAGGAGCAAAGCACTGCCCTTTCCTTGCAAAACAAGGTCTGTGCATGCTCAGACCTAGCCAGGAACACTACCTGGGCAGGTTACCTGTTTAATAGTGAGTTCCCATCTACCCTGTGAGAGGACAGCTAAAAATCCTTTGCTTCTGGCCTGAGATAGCCATTGTCATTTGGCAGACTCCCCACCAGCAGTCCTGCAGAGGCAGGGCATCTCCTTGGAGCAGGGCTGTGCCATGGTCCTTGGCGCAGGGCTCTGTGCGGATCAGAGGATGGTGAATCAGGCTGTGTGACTCGATCACAGTGTGACTCAGACTTGCCTGTGGCCGTGGGGGGCAGCTGGATGAG